GTATATATTATAATATACAGATATATATAAATATATATATATATATATATATATATATTAGCACCACATTTAGAAATGCTACTTCACTCAACGACATAACTCAACTATCCAACTCAACTACACAACTCAACTACCCAACACAAGTACATACCTTCATATCACCAATAACTGGTGTAGTAGGCTTGACCTTCTGCGGTGCAGCATCCACCCATTCCGACGCCATGATCTCCTTATCATCAAACTGTTCGCCCAGTTGTGATGCATCATCGCCTTCTGCGTCATCCTTACGCCTATACGCCTCTTCACTGTGCACTGTATTAGCACTAACAGCCCTAACCACCCTATCACTAGCATCACCTAGGTGCTGCTCTCGTGTCATCCTCCTGTCCTCTGGTATCTCATCGTACCCAGTCACTTGCACCGCCATGTCGTGGAATTTGGGTCGCACCTTTTTGGTCTGAATAGGACCTTTGCGTGTACCCGGCAATCCGTGATCTTTTAACATGGGCTGTGGGAAACGTCGCAAGCCCTGGGCATTGGGTTTGCGTGTGGCCATACCCGTTAAACGTACAAACCTTGATGCAGACATGATGTGTTATTGTGTGACGGTATTAGTTCAAGCAAAGCCTTAGTTTATGTATCGTGTGCTCAAACGTACACACAGGCGATCAAATGAAGCTACTGACCACCTATCCGTAAGACTATCTCTAGTTATACTTACACGTAAGACTATATCTAGTTATACTTATAACCGCATTTATCTGTTTGCATATACGAGAACTTTCGTGTGCTGTATGACATTTGTGGCCCACAATATGTCTATTATTTAAAACCCAAGCGAAGTTTCCGCACGCAGGGTTTTGAGATTCATGGTTGAACTCCACACGTGTAATAATATTTGGGTTTTTTTGGTTTTGTTAAAAAAATATAAGAAAAAAAACACAGCTGTTTATACTGCTGCGGCCAGTGCGGTGTATTTAAATATAAACAAATATAGGATCAATGGATCAAAGCCTTCTGCTCAATTCAAATAGACGTGGCTATGAAAAGGATGCCGGATGCCGCAATATTATGATGCCTTTTAATTGTTGTACTTATTTAAATAGTAGACGTACCACCGTAGGGCTTTCACCGTAGCTGTCCCACTACAGGACTGTCTGTTTCTGTTGTTTTTGTCTTAGTTCCAGCTGTAATCGTGAAGAAACGGATAGTACTGTGTGCACTATATGTGTATCGGAATTGCTGTAGGATATACAAACAATCAACCAGGTGGCCTATAAATACGGTTGAGCTCCCAGGCGACGGCGTTTGTATTGAGATGTTAATAAATATTTCTCTTTTTCTTTTGTATACGCTGAGTGGGATTCTCGAGTGGAGGATGTATTAGTTTAGTGGTGTTATTCAGGAGCGCCAAGTCGTTTCCGAAGTATGCATGCTTATTGCTAGGTGTTTTAATTTTCATCCACCGACGCTTCAATGTAAGCTGCGATGATTCTGTGTCATATTGATGGTACTTGGGTTCGAAATTAAAGGTACATGTTCAATATATGTGCACAACATCTGTGTATATGTCTATGTATATTCACGAGCTA